GTAGGCGCAGCCTTAGAAGGATGGTGGAACATTTTCAGCAACCTTGTGAGTAGTTTCCCTTATGAAAATATACTGCGATATCTCGAATATCGTGCCAACTGAATCATGAGACGGCCTGTGTGCAGCATATTCAGCTGAGTGTATTTCTCGAAGTCCAATTCATCTCGTGAAATTATTCCTTCTCTGAGCCACTTATAGACTCACCGTAGTGTGGAGAGATTTTGCAGTGTGGTTCCTGTAACTGAAGGATGAGGGGCTCTGTTTCCTATCCAAGTGAGAGGTTATCACACTGCTGTTCACCTGTCCGAGGCCAGACGATTAAGTGCTCAACCACTGGCTGGAAGGTCCTATTGGAGTTTCGTGAGTTGCGCACAGCTGATGATTCCCACTAAGTATATTACTACTTCTCGACTTTTCAGCATAGATTGGCCTCATTGACAAGAAGAAATCTCAATTGAAAACGAAGTGTTTGCTGGCCAAGTGCGAAAGGAGCCGGGTAATGTTGACTGCCATTCTCAGGGTGAACCTTCTCATTAGGGTGACATTTTGGCACTGTTTGTCTAGCTGTAGGGTCGATGAAGTATATTATCGTTGGAATTAACAAAACTAGGCAACCACGCAAATCGGTGCCCCCCACTTTTGTTGTTTTAGCGGAGCTTGATGTCATGTCCAACTAGTCTTGCAGCAGCAGCAGGCAAAAAATCAGCGTTCCACTTTGGTCGTTACTCAATCAGCAAGTTCTATTCCTCAAAATTATCCGACAACGACCGAAAACCTTGCAATGCGATAGTCTCCGACACTTTTCACTGAGATCTAAGTGTGAAGCACCTTGTGGCTTGTTTCTTTTGGACTCTGGGATCAATGTTCTTAGTTTGAGTACTGTTCTAATATCTATATTGCTTTTCTAACCCGGAAGCATCCTAACAAACGCATGGCAATGCAACACAAGTTTCCGAGCACTTATTTTGTAGTCGATAGTGATGACGCACCGAGCGATGCCACTATTCAGTACTGTCTTCGCCGTCTTACTCGCAGTAAAGGTTGATCGGTATTCTCAGTCTTTGATCGTGAAATAAGGGATTCTTCCGGCTTCTTGAGTGCCTGTGTTCGCATACAAGTTTACACCGTGCTGCAACATGTAGCCCTTCTCCCTAAACCAGGAAATATAAATGGTCACCCGGAACTATCTGACCTAAGTGTGCAAACCGTGACTTTAAGGTACCTCATGTGGACGCTCATCATGAGGCTAGACTTCCAGACGGCTCCAAGGTTTTTGATAACTTTTTGGAAATATCAACTAGCTTGCAGGTGAGGTGCTTTTGTGATATATGACCCACGCAACATCCGGTCACCAGGACACGAGGGTGCACATGAGGCTAACCTCATCAAAACAAGGATCAACACCGAGGAATAGCACGAAGACCGCTAAGTCGTTAATTGACGCTTGAGTTGTACCTGATCTGTCAGAACGATAGCTTGTGTGGGTTGATGTCGGCAAATCCGAAACGAGGCAGTTAGAAAGCTCGTTTTCGGTTGTGCAACGGGTACTTCCATTGAAGAATGTGTCCAACACCAGAAGCTACGTTGGTTGGGACA